CCTTCCGCCTCAGCCTTCCAAGTAGCTGGAACTACAGGCACGCACTACCACGCCCAGCTAATTTTTTATTTTTACTGTAGAGATGAGGTCTCGCCAAGTTGCCCAGGTGGGTCTCGAACCCACGGGCTCAGGCAATCCACTCACCTCAGCCTCCCAAAGGCGCGGGACTACAGGCTGAGCCACCGAGTCCAGCTTTCCCCTTTTTTTGAGTTGAGGTCTTACTCTATAGCCCAAGCTGGAGTGCAGTGGCACAACTATGACTCACTGTAGCCTTGATCTCCTGGGCTCAGGCCATCCTCCTACCTCAATAGCTGGGACTACAGGTACATACCACCACAACTGGCTAATTTTTTTATTTTTTTAGGGACAAGGTCTCACTATGTTGCCCAGGCTGGTCTTGAACACCCGGGTTCAAACAATCGTCTCTCCTGAGCCTCCCAAGGTGCTGGAATTCTAGGCGTGAACAAGTGCACACTGGCCAAGTTTTTAAAAATCTTTAAGAGAAAATACATGTCTTGTAGTGGCAACAAATTATTTCCAGCTTTTGTTTGAAAATAACTTATTTTGCCTTCACCTGTGTACGCTATTTTCATTGGATACAGAAGTCTAGGGTAACACAGACGTTTTTTCTTTCACCATATTAAAGATATCCTAGTTTGCAATGTCTTCTTAATTATTTTTTAAATTATTACCACTAAGCCGGGCTCGGTGGCTCAGCCTGTAATCCCGCACCTTTGGAAGGCTGAGGTGAGTGGATTGCCTGAGCCCGCGGGTTCAAGACCTGCCTGGGCAGCGAGACCTCATCTCTACAATAAATCAAAAAATCAGCCGGGCGTGGTAGCGCATGCCTGTAATTCCGGCTACTTGGAAGGCTGAGGCAGAAGGATCGCCGGAGCCCAGCAGGTTGAGGATGCGGTGGCCGGAAGTGGCCACTGCACTCCAGTCTGGGCGACAGAGTGAGACTCCAACTCAAAAAACAAAAATTATTACCACTATTTCATATATATAATGTGGACTTTTTTCTCAGGCTGTTTTATCTCTTTGTTTTCAGTAATTTGATGCCTTTGCATGGATTTGTTTATTCTACTTGGAAATGAGTTCCTTGGATCTGCAGGCTTACGGTGTTCATCACGTTTAAAAAACTATTCCGCTATTATTTCATCTGCTCCCTTCCTAATGCCTCTCCTCCTAAGACTCAAATTACACTTGTTAGACCACTTGATGTTCCACAGGCCACAGAAGCTCTGTGTTGTTGCTGTTTTTTCTTTCCATACGTAGTTTGGGCAGTTTGTAAAACAAGATGAGTATTTCTTATTCAAAATGCTTGGGACCAAAAGTCTTTCAGATTTCAGATTTTTGAATACTGGCATTTATACCAGTTGAGCATCCCTAATATAGAAAATCCAAAATGCTCCAAAATCTGAAACACTTTAGATACTAACAGGACACTCAAAGGAAATGATTACTGGAGGATTCAGATTAGGGATATTCAATCTATACTTTCTTGTTTTCTGCCATGTCTAATATATTGCCAAGCCCGTTCGGTGAGGTTTTCATTTAATTTCACTTCATTTCAGGTCGCTTAAAGTTCCTTTTTGTTCTTTTCTAAAGTTTCTGTTTATCGCCTCATTGTGTTCATGTTCTCCTTTAAATTTCTCACATATCTATGGTAATAGCTGTTTCAAATCCTTGTCTGCTAACTCGATCATCTCTTTTTTCTGGGTCTATTTCTACTGCCTGACTTTCCTTCTGATTTTGGGTCACATTTTCCTGCTTCTTCACAGTGATGTTCCACTGGATGCCAGTCACTGTAAATGCTTCATTGCTGGAATTTTGGCGTTTTCCTTTAAAGAAGGATGTTAAGCTTTACTCTGGCAGGTCATTAAGTTACCTGCAGATCAATTTTCACATCTAGTAAGTCTTGTTTGTGGGTATGAGATTATAGTGGCCTTTATGTCTAGGGCAACCCTTAATAGTAAGGTGTGGCCCTTCTGAGGTCTCTACTGAATGTACCAGAGGTTCAGCAAATCACCTCTCAAACATGTATTAGCTATGAGAATTATTCAGCTTACAGTTTCCTGGCCACTGTTCTCTTTCCAGTAATTGTTCTTTGCCTCTTGAAATTTCACTCTAAGTAAGTACAGGTTAGTATACACCCAAAGACTCAAAGAGATCCTTCGCAGAAATCTGGAGCTCTTTCTCTGAGTATCTTCCCTTCTCTCTGATACTCTGCTGCACAAATTCCAGCTACCTCAGCCTCTCTGAACCCTGATCTGCTTCCTCAATTCAGTGAAACCACCATGCTCTGCTTGGAATCTCCTTACAATGGCTATGATCCAGAAAGTATCTCCAGGCAGAAAGACAGGACTATATTAGGGCTCTCTGTTTCTCTTCTCTCAGGAATCGCAGTCCTGTACTGCCAGCTGTCCAATGTTTGAAAACAGATGTTTCATAGATTTTTGTCTAGTTTTTCTTTCATGCTTTGTCCAAATCAATTTCTTCATCATGGCCAAGAATGGAATTCCCCTCCATAATTCTTTTTTTAAGGGAGTAATATTGGGATACCTTTATGGCATTAATTCTTCTCTAATCATGAAAATGTTTTTAAAAATCTTAAAATTTTAAGTATTACTATCCCTTGCAAAGCACCTTAACTTTAAGCACTACTTTAAAAAAAGTCAACTTTATTTAGAAATACATTTTCCTCAATTTACAGCCATGCCAAGATAGAGTAGCAATAAAACGGTATTCCTTACTTATGCACAGTTTATTTAACTTGAATTCCACAGGACATTTCTTTATAAGTAGCAAGAGATTTCTTTTACTCTTACAAGATGTGAAGTTTCTTTTAACTCCATCACTTTTTAAAAATGCCAATTAAAGAATTAAAAAGCAAAATAAGTAGGGCAGCTATAAATAATACAGAAATAAACTATGTCTTACAATATATACATGCAGTTTATTTTTATGAACTGAACCAAAATATACCAAGACCATGGAGAACAGAAGACATAAAATGGTAATTTACCTCTTATTTGCCTGTCAACAACTCTCATTTCCTTTCTTATCTTCAATGACCATTCATTGACCTGGGAAAAATTTTAGAAAAGGAATTAAAAGATAAGCCAACACTCCTAATACAACCAATTATAAAACATTTTATATTAACTCTACATTCATCCCAGACACAAAATAAAAAAATAAAGCCATTTTCAAAGACAGAGAGCTCTACGACCAAATTCTACTTTTTCACCTCTTTTTATTCACAGTGAATAGACGTCCTAAGCTATTAAAAGATTCTTAGCAGAAGGCAAACAGTAAGAAGCACTTTAAACACAACCTCAGAAGGAGTATGGCACTCTGTAGGTACAAAGAATTTTCAAGAGGTGCATGGGTACAGATAGTTTTAAAGGCATTAGAAGATTTTCGTCTTTTATACATAATCATTTTCCATCTTTTATACATAATCATGCCTATGTCATGAGAATTCATCCTTTCCCTTCTCTTTAAAAATAATGCTTTTCTATTTTATGAAAGAAAAACACTTCCCTAACCCATGCCTCTTATTACCATAGTATAGTTCCCTGACAGGCAGTAACCTGTGGAATACTAAACATAGGGCCGACTGGAAACACTGATGTAGATGCTGAGAAAATAGTAAACGATTAAAATGATCACCAAATTGTTATGCAAGTAAACTGCTGTCCAATTCTCCACTTTTCAAAAAATTTGAAAGAAATCTTGAGTTGCCAGCTGATTAATCATTAGAAGTCAATTTTATACTAAACCACAATGTGCTTTTTGGCAAATGACTCAGAAGTCAACGAACTGAATAACGCTGCCATAATGAAGTGCCTTCCATTGCTATCTACTTGTTTTATTAACATGGTTTCTCATCACTTGAGTATAATAAATCATAAAATAGAGACAGAAATGATGCTGAACTCTTGTAGCATTCATTCATGTAGCATTCATCCATGGACACAGATTAAATTGGCACAAAAATATATATACCATTAGAAGACATATTTCCAACAAATTTCACTTTTAATGTTTAAATATTTACCAAAATCTGTAAAATATTTATTATACAACAATAATTATAATAATTTGTACAAGTTGTCAGAATCAAAATGGAGTCACTAGTGTTTAAAAAGCAAACAGGGCTGGAGAAGACTAAGAAGAGAGGGTTCTCAAACTTGTATGCCTTAACAAAAACTATCACAAAAGACTGCAAAAGAGCAGCCTTGCACGAAGACCACTGTAACCGTACAAAAATACTTCTGCAATGTTATCTGCCCAGCAACTACCTGTCAACCAGCAAAACCCTTGGTATTGATCTTTGTAACCAAGGATGATCATTTCAAAACAATTACATAATTCTCCTTTTTCCTTTAAAAAACCTTTGTCTTTCTTTATCCCCTGAATACATGGCACACCTGTTCCCATTGCAACGCTCTATTCCCAAATAAACATCATTTTCTTTTAGAGAACCTCTCTGTTATTTAGGGTGACAAACTCCACTCAGAAGAAGTATTGAAGCCCTTTAAAACTGTACAATCATACAATTTTTAAAAATCTAACGTTGGTTTTATGTACATTTTTTGGAAGTGAAATCTATATAGCCCAGCCATTTTAAAGTGCACAATACAGTGACATTTAGTACATTTACAATGCTGGACAACCAGGAAATCTTTCAAGGTTCAAAAGTTTTTCAACATTTCAGAAGAATACACCACACCCTTCAAATAATCTCTTCCTAGTTCCTCCTCCCCCAGTACTCCGACAACCACAAATTTGCTTTCTGTCTCTATAGAATTGCTTATTTTGGATATTTCATAGAAAAGGGATCACAAAATGTATGCCCTTTTATTTCTGGTTTCACTTAGCGTAATGTTTTCAAGGTTCATCCATGCTGCAACATGTATCACTACTTCAGTTTTTATGGCTGAATATTATTCCATTATATATATTTAATGTACAACACGTTTTCTTTTTTTTCTTTTTTTGAGGTGGAGTCTCACTCTGTCACCCAGACTGGAGTGCAGTAGCTGCTCCCGGCCACTGCAGCCTCACCTGCTGGGCTCCGGCAATCCTTCCCCCTCAGCCTTCCAAGTAGCTGGAACTAAAGGCATGCACTACCACACCCAGCTATTTTTGACTTATTGTAGAGATGAGGTCTCGCCAACTTGCCCAGGTGGGTCTCGAACCCGCGGGCTCAGGCAATCCACTCACCTCAGCCTCCCAAAGCGCTGGGATTACAGGCTGACCCTCTGAGCCCGGCTACGTTTTCAATTATTTGGGGTATATACCTAGGAGTGCAACTGCTGGGTCATGTGGTATAATTCCATGTTCAACTTTCTGAGGTTCTGCCAACCTGTTATTCACAGTGGCTTCCCTATTTTATATTTCCACCAGTCGTGTACAAGGATTCCTATTTTTCCACATCTCATCAACACCTGTTCTTTTCCAATTTTCTTATTATTGCAAATCTGCTAGGTTTTTATTTGTATTTTCTTAATGCCCAATGCAGTTGCATTTCATGTGCTTTTTTGGTCATTTGCATATTGCCTTTGGAGAACTGTCTATTCATGTCTTCTGCCATTTTTGTTGTTGTTGCTGTTAAAGACAGCATCTTGCTCTGTCATCCATGCTGGAATGCAATGGCATGATCACGGCTCTGAGCAACTTCAAACTCGTGGGCTCAAATGATCCTCCCGCTTCAGCCCCCTCAAGTAGCTAGGATTACAGGCATGTGCCACCATACCCAACCACTTTTAATTTTTTTTTGTAGAGACAGGATCTTACTACATTGCCCAGGCTGGTCTCAAACTATTGGGCTCAAGTGATCCACCCACCCCAGTCTCCCAAAGTGCTGGAATCGCTAATAGGCATGAGCCACTGCAGCCAGCTTCTGTGCTTTTTATAATTGGGTTGTCTTTTTGTTGTTGAGTTGTATGAGTTCTTACATTTTCTCCCATTCCATTGGTTATCTTTTCATTTTCTTGATAATGTCCTTTGATACACAAGAGCCTTCAATTTTGGTAAAGTCCAATTTATCTAAAGAACATATTTTCTGAACTCATTCTTTAAGTCTCATCTTAAATGGTACTTCAGGGAGGTATTCTCTGACTCCTAGTACAGGTTAAACCCCACTCCAGTATAACTACGCAGAGTCCTATTTCCTCTCTTTTGTGAAGCCAAAGATACTTATGATTACTATGAGCTACAGAAGGTCAAAGATCTTTTCTTATTATGAAGCTCTTGTATAATGCCTGGCACAATAAGTATTCTTTGAATTAACTGCATGGAATATGAGATGTGAAGGGACAAAAAACTTCAGCCATAATGCTATACATAACAAAAATCTTCAGAAACTTTCTATGAATGTTTTTAAATGTCAAAAAGTTTCATAAAATCTGTCAAAAAGAAAAATTCCTTTTAAGCTTATAAAATCAAAATGGACTTTGCAAAAGAAAAGCTTACGTAGAAGAAAAGAAAAGGATCAAAAGGAACTTGAGCATCCGTGGATTTTGGTATTGGGTTGAAGAGTTCTGGAACCAATGCCCCACAGATACCTAGGGATAACTGCACATGAAAATCTGTGAGATAATTTAAGTCTCTGGATGATGTTACAGGAGTTACATTTGCTTCTGGCAAACATCTAGCTTAAGTGCACTAGAAACTGGTTCTTAATTAATCTTTTTTTTCTTTTTATTATTATTATTTATTTTAAAGATGGGAACAATTCAGGATTAGGTATACAAGTGGTCATTGTACAGGTAAAGTTTGGGCTTCACTTTGGTCCTCACTTCACCTGATTTGAAATCAAGTACCCTTATTGATGAAGTATATGCCTCACCTCCCTCCCTTGGCAGTTTTCCACTACTGCCAATCCCTTTCTTAAGTATTATGATATTTGTTCAGAGTCTACTGATGAGTAACACCTGCTACTCAGTTCTTTGTTTCTGTAGATCAGTGAGTATTATAGACTCTAAAGCCATCCAAGTTGCTGCAAAGTTCAAAATTTTGTCCTTCTTTATGACTGCGTAATATTCCATCATGTACATGTACCACATTTTTTTAATACAGTTCACTTCCGATGGGCAGCATGGTTGGTTCCACATTTTTGCCATTGTGGATAATGCTGCAACAAAAAATGCATATGCAGGCATCTTTTTCATAGAATGATTTGAGTACCTCCGGGTATATTCTCAGAAAAATTAATCTTAATTAATCCAATAAAGGACAGAGATGATTTGTGACTGGTCTTCAGTCTTTGTGAAAGTCGGTCTATTTCCAGCTCACTGTTACTGCTAAGGTGTATTCTTTCAGAGACCTTGAAAAGCCCTAGATTTTTCTTTTTTTCATTCAGAGTCTCACTCTGTCACCCAGGTTGGAGTGCAGTGGCACACTCATGGCCACCGAAGTCTCAACCTGCTGGGCTCAGGTCCTTCCACCTCAGACTTTTGAGTAGCTCGAACTACAGGCACACACCACCAAGCTCTGCTAATTTTTTTATTTATGGTAGAGATGAGGTCTCACCAAGTTGCCCAGGCTGGTCTCAAACCTGTGAGCTCAGGCAATCCTCTCACCTCAGGCTCCCAAAGTGCTCGGATTATAGGCATGTGCCACCGCACCTGGCCTAGCCCTAGATATTTACCAGAGTCCCTTATGAACTCTGGTTATTACACTCCCCAACCACAAGGTTCTACTCAAATCCTCAGTTTGTCACCCACTGCATTCAGAATTAGAGGATTCTCTTTAGGGGAAAAGTTGTTTCAAATGATTGCGCTTGGAGAACAGAGTGTCCTCTTCTCTGGGACGTTGGCTTTGCAATTTTTCGCTGCCTTGGTAGTGTTTAGTGATTTTGAGTAGTTATACTTTTTTGTTTAGCTCTTCTAGCTATTTTTGGCAAAGGGTTGGCTCAAAACAACTTAGTCTATAATCACCCTAAGGATTTTTAAAATAACATATTTCCTAGTTTTGTTTCATAAAAAGATCTAGAAGCTGGGATACTCAAGTAGCAAGATGTATCACGAACACCCATATTTTGGTTTCTAAATAGCATTCCCACTAAAAGGAATCA